AAAAAGATTTAATGCCTGGCTGCTCCATGGCAAAAGCGCAGGAGTGGAGGAACAGGACGGCTGCTCCCGAGGGGGACGTTAAAGCTGAGGCTGCACCACGGTGCAACGAGATGGGAAGGTGGGAACCGGAGAGAAGCAGAGATGTCTCCTCCCTGCCCCTGCACCCATGGCATACGTATCCATCTATGCCTCACCACGGTCAGGCAGGGCCAGTTAGCAGCTCCCAGCACCTCTCTCCCTCTTTCGCCCTCTCCCTCTCTTTCTGGCTTTTATTCCACCAGCCATCATGATGCTTCCTGCGTGCTGCTCCTGGAAAACTGACTGAAACAGCAAAGTTCTGACTGAACTTTTTGGACTGGCATTTTGCCTTTCCTGAGGCTAAAAGCCATTTTTGGGATAGAGTATTTTGCATAACTGATCTATATGCTCTCCTAGCATCAGCCTCTTCTATTTCCAAAGGACAGAGGTTAAGAAAAAGTTAAATTCCATGGCCAAATTGTGTGTATTCAGTGTGTGGCACCGTGCGTGCAGCCGGCTGCTCAGCCCCTGGAACACAACCGCCACTTCCCTGCTTTTGCCTCTTCCCCAGATTACTAGGAAAGATCTTTTTACCAATACACTTGGGCCACAAAGTGGGACTATAGATCTGGCTTTACCACCGCAAGGTGCTTTCTTCCTGAATCAGTTCATTTGCAGATGAACCCTGGCAATTCAGAGCCAAAGGTAAAAGAAAACTAAATCGGATCAAAGCGATTTTAACTGTGAGCAAAAAAGAGTGCCCAGTCAAAGGGCCCATCTGAAGACACTAACCTGAATGAACGTGCCGGGGGTCCCTTGGTGACGAGCTCCCAGTGTGGCCCATCAGCCAGACTCGGTCCTGGCCTGTCCCTGATGCCAGAAGGTCGGAGAGAGTGAACAACCCAGGAGCGTGGGGGCGGATCCGCTGGGCTGATCGGCACCCGATAGCAGAGGTGAATTATACAACATCCTTTTGAAATACCTGAACTGACTGACAGCAGAAACCTCCTTTTCCTCCTGCCTGTGTGCTCTGCGAGCCCAGCTCGACACCAGAGGCGTGAAAAGGAGAGGGAAGCGGGTGTGCAGCAGGAGGGTGAGGCAGAGTTCAGCCTGGGGGAGCACCCGGCACTGCAGCAGCCAGCACTGCAGGGCCTGGCATTGCAGCAGCCAGCACTGCAGCATCGGGCACTGCAGCATCTGGCATTGCAGAGTCCGGCACTGCAGCATCTGACACCACAGAGCCTGGCACTGCAGCATCTGGCCCTGCAGAGCCCGGTACTGCAGCATCTGGCACTGCAGCATCTGGCCCTGCAGAGCCCGGCACTGCAGCCGCCCTGTCCTTCCCCATGCCATGCCTCACTGAGGAAGCACAGCACAGGTTTCAGGGGAGGATGTAAGGGCTTCCTCGCCTGACCTTGCGAGACTTGGGCCCTTTCACCGTGTTGCCCCAGGGCTTCCATGGCACCTGCAGCCAGAGCTGGGAGCGGGAGGCTGGGAGTTGTGGCAGACACGGTGCTAAAGGCACTGATTCAGGGGAACAGGAGTCAAGACCTTGTCCTGGTGTCGCAACCAAACCCTTGCACCTGTGCTTGCCTTCTCCAGGCAGACCTTGTCTCCTGGGGTAGGGGAGAGTTGCTTTTTATAACCCTTGCTTGGGCAATGGAGCTGGGAGAGAGATGTTTTTAATGAAGACTCGCCCAGGCTATGGAAGAGACCAGACCTCTGAACTCCATCAGCTGAGAAGCAATCAGCAAGGAGATCTGCATGTGCATCGCCTTGTGCAAGGAGAAGCGAGGATGGAGAGGGGGCAGACAAAGGAAGAAACATTATTTCCAGAGCAGATTTTTTCTCCCTAAAATGTAGCAGAGGCATTCCCTGAATGTTCAGCTCTTGCACTGGGATCAATTTGGGCCCTTGTATTATGAATAAGGCAGTGATCAGATCGCTTTCCCACTAAATTTTGACTCACACTCCTTGGACTGGAGTCCCTTTTCTATGCCTATGCCAGAACAGAAAAGTGGCTTTATGCCAATTGCTCCTATCAACACTAGCCAGAAACCTCAATGTGACTTTCCTCTTCCCAAACACAGCTATCACCAGCATAGGGATTGAAGATAAGGGCTTAGTAAATGCATTTGCAAGATGAACACTGGGAAAAAAGGTCTGTGCTTGGGATGCACAGGCCGGTTTGAGACTGACAGGGCAGGGATCAGCCAGGTATGAACTGATGGGACTCTTAGCTGATGACCTACTGGGACCATATATTTCACCCACCTCATATTCTTGGAGTGAAGCAGTTCTGCCTTCATTTGTCGCTTGCTCCAAGTATCACATCACAGTTATGTATTCAGTGTGCCACAATTTCTCCAAGACCCCAGGCTCAGTAGACTTACTTATCAGTGAAGCCAAACTTCACATTCCTCAGCATCATCCACTCCAGCTGACACATTGGAGGAACGGGCTTCCTGAAAAGCTTGTAATGGGGGCTCTGCACTTGGAGCTCTTCCCCCAGACCTCGTCCTTTATTTCCATGCCCATACTGGAACAGAGCTCTTGAAAAACCTGGTCCCTGCAATGCAGCAATTTACTGGCACTCTGCTTTTCTCTCCACACACATTGCATTGCTTCAGTGTCCTGCCCCAGCTGCAGGATTTAAACCAGCTCTGCAGCTTGCTGTGGTCATATCCCATCAACACCAGGACAGCTGGTTTTGCCTTTTGTTCAAGGAGCAGTCACACAGCTCATTCTCTTTAATTCCGAAATCTCAAAGGTTTAACCTGGTGTTTGATCTAGGGCAAGGCCAGTGATAAGCCAAGTCAAGAACTTGACTCTGTCCAAGATGCTGACATCATTAGCCTGTTTGTTTAAGATGGAATTTAATCATGGGGATATTTTTCCCTCTATACTTGCCTTGTTTATTATTTTTCCTGATTGCAGGCACTTTCGCTCAGCAGGAGAAATTCATTAAAGAGCTGTGATATAATTGGCTGATTCAGTCTGTCTGATGGCAGGCATGCTGCTCAGCAAGTGATGGAGCCGAGAAATAAAGCTGAGCGAGACTTCTTGCACCCGAAACTCAGCTGGGTTTATCACGCCTTAAAAGCTTGTTGCTAAGCCTGGACCTGGGCTACAAAATATTCACAAGGGAGAACTGGAAATCTAGAGCAGAGCTGTGGGGCTGGGACCTGGAGAAAGCCTGGGCACACTGGGAATCTCTTCAGCAATGGGATCTGGAGCAAGGCTGCAAGGCAGGGACAAGACTTGCGCAGACTGACGTGGGAAAACCAGGGAATGACCATTTATCAGATGGGCTTCTGGCATTAGCGTAGGGACTGAGAAAGAGCGTAGGACACTGCTTAGTCTTGGCCTGCACCAATCCTCCAAAAGGAAAAGCTTGTAATTGCTCTTGGAAGGGGATCTCTAGCTGAAAAGGAGCAGCAGGGATGCCAGTGTGTGCAAGCCTGCAGAGGGCATGGGATTAAGCACCTGGTAATGCAGGAAGAGGGACACGTCTCCTCTTTCAGCTAGCTGGCACCTAGCTGGCCCTCCAAAGACAGAGGCTGGGGTCCCTCCCGAGGCAGCACGGGTGCACATCAGAGCCTGGAATGAGAAACACACCATTGCTGGAGCTGTTTTACAGCAAACTGCACTTGATTGCCCCTGTGATCACTAAAGCATCCACCACAAGAGAGGGGTTGATGACCTCCCTTTCTAAACCCATTAGCTCCTATTTGTATAATGATTCTGTTGACCTAAATTCTCCCAAAAGTTTCGGCTGCCTGCATCATACTTTCCTTCCTGTCCTGGACTGCTGGGCCACTCTGCTATATATTACTCATATCTTCCAGCCCCCACTCCAAGGTAACTGCTTATCAGTGAGGACTGACATTAGTCCTATGGATGAACGTTTTGCTCATCCTGGTTCCAATGAACTTGGTGTCAAGGTGTGCACTGACTTCAGCAGTACTCATGATGCCAAAAGGGGAGAGAGGAGAATCTGGTACATTCAGATCACTCTGTAAGCTCTCAGCAACCTGGATGTTGTTTCTTGGTACGTTCTCCTGCCTGAATCACCAGCTTTTTCCACCCCCTCTTCTACTCCTGTGTTGGGCGATGACCCACTTAGATACACGCCATACCACAAATAATTACCAAGATCCTTGTTTTATATCTGACCACTTCCTCCCTCCACTCCCAGCCTCTCCAGTTTGTAATGATTCTCCACACTTCCTAGGCATTGCTGCTCATAGTAAAATAAGGAAGGGTTCTCTGAAGTTCATCACCTTTCTTTGGTGGGACCCAGATACTGGGCAAGACTAGTCCATCCAGATGTTTTGACATCTTCATCACTGAAATGAATTACCAACAGTTATCTTTCTGCACATCACTTCCTAGGATAAACCAAGGAGTCATCCACAGCCTCCCATGGCAAGTGAGAGATAGGAAGGCTGCTGAATGCAAATGAGACCACTCAGCAGCGTAGCAGGAACATCTCGGATGGAAACTGCGTTTAATCACAGTGCCAGTATCTACCATTGCAAACTGTGTCAGGGCTGCCCAGCGTTGCAAAGTCTCGCCAACCCCACCGGCACATGGTGAAACTGAGGCATGAGAAAGGTCAAATGACTTGCCCGAGGCAAAAAGGCAGTCACTGGCAGAGCTAAGATTAACACCCATGCTCATCTGCCAGACAATCCAGGACACGCTCCGGTCCCCTTGGTGCGGCATTGCTCATTAGCATCACCTCAAAATAGCTGGTAAAAACTCCCTGTGCCGGGGAGCAGCAGCCCCCGGTGCTGGGAGAAGCCACTCCCAGGACCTGCCTCTGCGCCACGGGGAAACTATTTAGGGTGGAGATGTTCGGGGAGGGCTCCCAGACGCTGGAGGTGTCCGGTCTGTTATACTGCAGGTGGGGCCAGCTCCAGTCACATTCTTGGCTTTGCTTTTTCTTTTTTTCTGGGAAAAATTTAAATGATCCAGAGATGAACCACGCCAGGCCTCGCTATGTCATCGAACGTCCTGCATATTCGGTCAGCCTCTTCGATGAAGAGTTTGAGAAGAAAAGTAGAAGTTACCCCGTTGGGGAAAAATTGAAAAACCTTTTCAGGTAACATAGAATGCTATAGCTGGGGCAAATGTAAATCAGATTTGGTCTGGAATTGGGATATAATTCAGACCTGGGTATATAGCTCCCATTTTTATCCTGGGAAACCTTCTCCATGATCTTCAGGGCTTTGATGGATGAAAGGCACAGGAGAAATGCAAATTGTACTGAAGCAAGTGAAACTGGTTAGACTTTTCACTGCCTCAGCTGTTACACTGTAGGGCAAATAAGCGGAACAGTTTGCACCAAGTGAATTCGGGATTTGGGGTTCTGTTTCCCAATTTTTTTTAAGAATGAAAAAGGCATTATCGGTGATGTAGGTATGGGTGTGCGGATTATTTCTTTAAGCTTTCCAGCTGGGATTTCCTTTTATCAACTTTCTGATTAAAAACAGTACTGGCTTTTCTTAAAGATGAAAAATCATGCAAAGAAAGATGAATAATCCTGCTGATTGTTGTCTTGGAAATCTAGCTCCATTTCCTGGAAAAATGAAGGCAGTAATACATGAAAGAGAGCGAACATACGTGTTAGCAGGCAGAGATGTGAGATGCTGCATGTGCCAACCCACCCAGAAACAATCTTCTTCTTTCAGAGACACTTGGGGTTTTTTGACCAAGCACCTGAAAAAGTTCATCTTTGGCTCTGTCCAACTGCCCCATGAATCTCTGAGCTGTGTTTCCTCTCCATGGCTTTCCTATCCCCTGTCTGAAGGGTATCAACATATTGGGGAGCAAAATCCTTCACTTTGTGCAGGTTCTCCTTCCAGCTGTGGCAGCATTGGAGACCTTCCACCGAGTCAGGAACATCCCTACAATAATCCTCCATGGCATGTCCAGCTAGTTAACTGCAAGAGCCTCACACTTGCAGGGGAGGGCTGTGCGCCAAATATTGGGCTCAGGATTTGGTGTGGGAGAAAGGCTGAGACATTCCTAGAAAGATTCTTCCTTGATCCCTTGCTTGCTCACTTCCCAGCTCACTTGCTTCCTTCCTTCTTTACTTATTTGCGTTATTTTTTTTTTAATCTCCCTTAGATGTTCAGCTTCCAGATTCAAACTCATCCTCTTTAGCCTGTTCCCAATACTTGTGTGGCTTCCCAAGTATAAAATTAAGGACTACATTTTGCCTGATGTTCTCGGTGGGCTCAGTGCGGGGACGATTCAAGTGCCACAAGGTGAGACGCAACGACTTTCTGGGTCACCAAGAGGGGACAGCACTTTGCCAGTTCAAGTAAAGGTCTGCAGATGACAGCTGATGTCCAGTCTGGGGGGGTTAGCTACCTTTACTGCTGACATGTATAAACCTAAGCTCTACCTCTGACCTGGCTATCCCTATATTTCTCTGCGGTGCCCTTCCCTGGCCTCTTTGGCCTCTCCTGCCCAGAAAGCAGCAGTCTGTGCTGGCCACGGCACCTTCTTGGAGCTGATGTGAGTGTGAGCAGGGCAGGGGGCTGACACCAGCTGCAGAGACCTGGGTGACCTGCCCATTTCCTTGGTGTTTTCCAGGGATGGCCTTTGCACTGCTGGCCAATCTGCCTCCCGTCAACGGGCTCTACTCCTCCTTCTTCCCCTTGGTAACATACCTCTTCCTTGGCGGTATCCATCAGATGGTCCCAGGTAAGAGTCTGCAGAGCAATTGTCTGCACAGGGCAGTTAAATACTGGCTGGCAATACTTGGTGTGTCCCAGAACAGAGACTTTTGGGTATGTTTGGTCCATCAGGGGTTTACGGGATCCCTGATTCTGGCTGCACAGCAGGATCTCACCCCAGTGAACTATTGCCGCATCTTGCCATGGGGCTGCCTGCGGTGATGGGCTGAGTGGTTTGGTCTGGACAGCCTAACCTGTCCAAGTGCCTTCCAGGACAGGATGCTCTCCAGAGAAAACTACTGACATCACTGTGTTGTGCTGTAGGTACTTTTGCTGTCATCAGCATTATTGTTGGCAACGTCTGCAATGAGCTGGCTCCGGAGTCAGACTTCCAGTACTTCAACCATACTACCAATGAGACCACTGTGAATACCACAGCCCTGGAAGCAGCCAGGCTGGAGATCTCTGCCACGTTAGCCTGCCTGACAGCCATCATACAAGTAAGGACTCGCTGCACCGCCTGTGCTGTGTCCTCTGTCCAGAGCTGACCCACACGGAGTCAGCCAAACTCTCTCTCAGGAGCAGAGACGGTGGTAGCAGATGCTAGAAGAGGCCCCACTTCTAAGTGGATGATGCCTCAGCATAGAGGTTTTTGGGGATCCCACCCCAGCTGCAGTCTTGGTGTGAAATTCTCCAAACGGACTAGCCAAGGGTGATCTCCTGGGGCAGGATCGCAGCCAGTGATGACACCCCAGCACCCTGCAGCTTTCCTCTCCCCACCCCTGCTACGGACCGGTCTGCTCAGCCCAGCACGTGCCGTGGCTGCGTGGGAGGGATGCACCCTTCTTCCCAGCAGAGCAGCCTGCCCGACACAGGCACGCTCAGGCTCTGCACCTCGCCCTTTCGGGCTGGCACGCTTCTAATAACGCCTTGTCTGTCCTACCCTAGCTGTGCCTGGGATTCGTGCAGTTTGGCTTTGTTGCTATCTACCTCTCAGAGTCTTTCATCAGGGGCTTCATGACAGCAGCAGGGTTGCAGATCCTCATCTCCGTGCTCAAGTACGTCTTCGGCTTGACAGTCCCATCTTACACCGGGCCCTTAGCTATCGTCTATGTAAGTGGGTGCTCTGGACAAGGGCCTTCCCTGCACCTCCTCCCCCAGTGACAATCCACACCGCAGGCATCACTGCCACCCATGCAAGGAAAAGGGGGGGCTTGGAGAGAGGGAAAGGGTGGAGGGAGGGGGAATACGCCTGTCTGCACCACTCCCTGCCCAGCACACCTACGCTGCTGCCATTGTATTTCCTATACAGTATTATCTGAGCCCTTGTCTGCTAGTTTCTAATCAGATATAATGAAATGGGTCTGCGATTTGGGGAGAATATGAACTGTGTTGCTTTACAACAGGCGTCTTGCAAAATTGTTAGCAACAGAAACTTTTCCCGTGGACAGGTTTACCCATTCCTGGGCTTTCCTGCATCTTCCATGGATGCATCCTCATTGATGCAGCTAGAACTGCATTTCACTGGACAGCACAGACTCAGGGCTGGCTGCTGATCTCTCAGCAGCAGGGTTTCTAGCATTTCTCTCACCCTCGTCACATCTCGGGGTGTTTGCAGTTGATTATGGTAAAAAGTGTTCTCCATTGTGCTTGTCCAGAGTCTCTGGTTCCCTATGACACTTTCTCCTCTTCTCTCCCCTTTAGACATTCATTGATATTTGTAAAGGTCTGCCCAAAACCAACATGGCCTCCCTGGTCTATGCCTTGGTCAGTGCTGTGCTCCTGATCATTGTCAAGGAGCTCAACCTAAAGTACATGAAAAAGATCCGGATGCCCATCCCCATGGAGATCATCATTGTAAGTGACGTGTGAGCTGTCCCTCGGACCCTCCAGGAGACAGACCCTCCCCTCGCCTTACAGCCCTGGGACACCCACTTGTGCTCACAGAGGGTCCATCATGTAGAGCATCTACACAGTGAATATGACATGACCCTCATGTGGGTTGGGGTCAGAAATTGGGCCATCCTCATGGAGGATACCTCTGATGCTCAGGTCATCCCTGTTAGACTGTACCTGCATCCTGGTGATGCTGAGGATGAGGAACACAACTCCTGCTGGGGAGGTCCTCTCCTTTCCAAGCCTGAATTTGGTGCTAATTTTCTAATGTCAGCCCCAGGAGCACAGCAAGCTTAATGCTTCTGAGAGAGCTCATGCTCTTTCTGCTTACTGCTCTTTTATTCTCTGTACTTTCAGGTAATAGTTGCGACTGCAATCTCTGGCAGCTTCAACATGCCCAAGAAGTACGGCATGCCAGTAGTTGGGAAGATCAGCATGGGGTAAGTGCATGTGCAGGTCTTACTCAACTTCCAGATAATTTTCCTTCCTCCTCCTCCTCCTGCAGCCTGGAAAACAGCTCACTCTTCCCTGCTGTATGACAGTCCCCTTCCAGGACTGTCAGGCAGCACTGCTGCACCCTGTTACACAACTGCCACCATCCACTCAAGCTGTCCATGGTGTAGACACGGATTATGTCATTCCTGAACATACAAGCTCCTCACCCACTTCACCGGCCTCCGAACACTAGTGTCACAACTGCTTCTCGCCTCCACTCTGAGTGCAGGTTCCCAGCGCCAACCCTGCCCCTGGTGAACAAGTGGAAAGACATGATCGGCACAGCTTTCTCGCTCGCCATCGTGAGCTACGTGATCAACTTAGCCATGGGGAGAACGCTGGCAGCCAAGCATGGCTACGACGTGGACCCCAACCAGGTAACGCTTGGTCTGGAAGGACGCAAAGACTGTTCCCCTTGCTCTCAGGCGTGAAAGGAAAACCTCGCTGCATGAATGGGAAGCTTTCAAACGTGCCCTGCTTAAAACAGACGTGCTGCTCCCATGCATGCAGGCTCACGTGGCAGCTTGCCATGTGGGGGTTGAAAGGATATGGCAGATCCATCTCCCATGGACTGGAGAGAGACTGCAAAAGGGAAGAAAACTTTAGGCTGAGCTCTCTGCTTTGCTCTCCCTCCTGACCTGAGGCTTCAGCCCTGAGTGCTGGCACAGATGGCATTTTTGCAGGTTGTTGAAGCACAATGAGGTGCATGTATTTTTCACCAAGCAGAGAAAGACCTGGATTCCTGGTGTGTCACCCAGATACTGTAAGAGGCAGGACATTAAATAATCCTCTTTTGTCATCACTGGCACAGTGGCAGTTTTCAATAACAGCCACACATACCACATGAAGCCCTGCCCTTAGTGTGTCAACAGATGACAACGTGTTTATGTGGAATTGTGCTTCCAGGTTTCCCTGCTATATCAGAGCCCATCCCAGCTCTTACTGGAAGGAAAGGGTCTGGGACACACCGTAGGGAACCCAGGTCCCTTCCCTGGCCACGCAAACCCCAGACTCGGGTACCTGCTCTCCTGCCTGGCAGCTCACACGCGTTGGCAGGGCAGGACGGGCAGCTGTCCTTTCTGATGACCATGTTCCCCCATCTCCGCAGGAAATGCTGGCCCTGGGCTGCAGCAACTTCTTTGGATCCTTCTTCAAAATCCACGTGATCTGCTGTGCTCTCTCTGTCACTCTCGCCGTCGATGGGGCAGGAGGGAAATCACAAGTTAGTACCTCCTCCTCCTCTCTTCCCTACGTGACCCTACTTGACCACAAACCCCTATAGCTGCTGCAAGCTGCCAGCCTGACATCGCTGCTGCGGGTCTGGAGAAGCTCCATATATAAGTGCTTCACGTTGCTGTTGTTAAAGCAGAATTTCCTCCTTCCCCAACCCCATTTTGTTCCCTGGATGGTTCTTTGGATTGGTCGCAGATGTAGGGCTGTAAATCTGCATTCCCAGTCTGGCTCCCCCGATTGAGCAGAACTACCACGTGAGGGAATTTTGGGGTTATCTGTGAGATCTGCAAAATCCTAGCCTACTTCTCGGAGGCAATTGTCTGCTCACATAAAATACTGCAGTGACCAGTTTTGCCATTGGCTGAAGCAGCGGGAGACGAAAGACCCAGAGGGGGTTTAAGAAGACCTTGACGTTTGCTGAAGTGATTTCTTTCTCTGTTGCAGGTGGCAAGTTTCTTTGTGGCCTTGGTGGTTATGGTGACCATGCTGGCTCTGGGGATCTACCTTGAACCTCTTCCAAAGGTAACACAAACTGTGCAGACAGCGTGGCCATTGCATCGCATACTCTACACACCCAAGCGAAGGCACAGCCTTGCTCCAAAAACCCCTGATGCAAACTGCCGCACAGCACCATTTGCTCCTGGCCTGGGGTCCTGTCTGCACTGAGTCTCTGGAAGCAAGAGTAGTCTAAATTACCATACTCGGCTCCAAGCGGGATCTTTGTGAGCATCACCCTTTCCCATTCCCTTGCGGTAACTGGACCAAGGAAGGCAGACACTGCAGAAAGCACCTGCTGCAAAACGTGGCACATCCACACTGTATACCCGCATCCTAGCTGATACAGTCCCCTCTCCTCCGCAGTCTGTCCTGGGAGCCCTGATCGCGGTGAACCTGAAAAACTCCCTCAAGCAGCTGGCTGATCCCTTCTACCTGTGGAAGAAGAGCAAGCTGGACTGCGTGAGTGCCTGGGGACGGGTGGGAGGCATCCGCCTGCCTTACACTGGCTGCTCAGCCCAGGGCTGCGTGAGGCAGAGGCAGGGCGAGCAGACTAGCCCCCTGGCAGGCTTTTGCAGAAGGTGGGTTTCACTCTCTCGGTGCGATCGTGCTTCCAACCACTCGCCAATGAGGTCCCGAGCAGCAGCGGAGCCTGTCCTGCCCAGCTGAGCACTCTCATGCTTAGCGCACATATCAGAGAGGCCTGAACTATTACCTGCTCTGTTTAAATGCCAATCAACTGCGGGAGCCTGTTTGCCCAGAACTAGCCAAACCGGCCCTGCTCAATATCTGGGAGTCATGACTTAAAAACTCACACAATAGCCCTCCAGGGTGAGGAGAGCCCTTCACAGCGATAAGGACTCCAGGCACTGGTTGATGTATAAACCCAGGCAGGGGGTGCAGGGGAGTGAGAACGGAATTTGGAAATGTCTGACATAAAAAGACAGTGTTTGAACAGGACTCCCACGGCTGAGTGGTGTGTGTGGACACTGAGCCAATATCCTGTCAGGTCCCGACAAACCGCCTTATCGGAGAAATCGGGAGTCCAAAGGGGCTGACCTGAGTCATCAAGAGCTTTCCCAAAATACTGTTCAAACAGGTGCTGGACAAGAGATGGGTTAGCAGTCCAGGCAGAGATTTCACAGGAGTGTGATCATGACATGAAGGCACACTCCAGCACAGGGCATGAGCTACAAAAAAATGGTCCATGCTTAGGAGTGATCCCAGCAGACTAACTGGACCAGGGATGTGCGACATCTGAGCTGACGTGGTTATGCAGGCAAGAACCAGCAGAGTGGGAAAGTTGCTGATGGGAAGATGCAATTCTCTGTCGGGAGTCGTTTATGGCAGTTTAAGCACATCTCTGAATGGGTTCTGCTGATGCCTGCTGGTAGGATGGAAGGTCTCGGTCAGCTCTGGCAGTTCATGCGAGGGCAGGTGAAGTTATTGCCTTTTATCAGAGCTCACAGAGGGGAGCACAGACCGGCCCCACGGGCTCCATAGCCCCCAGCGCAAAGTCCAGGCAGACACCTGAGCAGACAGTGGACTGAGCGGAGATGCATGGTGCTGCCTGGGGAACACCCTGCCAGCGTGTCTCTGCCAGACTTGGCCACCACAGCGGAGGTGAACGGCTCTCAGAAACCTCTTTGATTTGCCCCACATGAATCATCCCTCCTCCATGGCACAGCCAGACCCACTGACCTGGCTGTGCTGTTCCCACTGAGCTGCTGGAACAAAGCTCTTGCTACCAGCAACCACAGACAGCCTATAGGTGTAGGGAGCGTGGGGACCAGGCAGATGCCAATGGAGTGAACGGTATTCCCCTGACCTTAATCTCCCTGGAATTTGAACTAGATTCAGTGTCCTGTCCCAAAATGGGAAACTCCATTTCTGGGTGATGTCAGACCATCAGTGTTCATTACCTCAAGTCTGGTTGTGTTTCAGCGCTAACTGCAGGGATCACTCCACAGATACAGCCCAGTGTGAAGTCTGGATGGAGGGAAGCCCTTACTTGACATTTATATGCACAATGCATATAAATTAAGATGCCGAAGTCATCAAAGTTACCCTGATTTGTCCAAGGTCAAAGTTAGGTTTTATCAGTTTTGAGGATGGGATTGTAATAACCTGATAATTATTCTCAGAGGGCATGTTTATACGCTTAGGCAGGACTAATCTCATACGGAGGGAGATGCTCGAGTGCTAATACATAAAAATGACAAATGACAGAGCTCTGAGCTGAGAGGTGGAGCAGGACTTGGTATGCTCTGTCATACTTTGTCATCAAATTTGCTCTGTGTTCAGGTCATTTATAGTAGGTGCTCAGACGGTTTTCAGATCGATGCTCATTCCTCCTGAAATGCTCTGACAGCAGGAGCTTTCTTGGGGTTAGGAGCAGTTACTGAGCATCAGATGGTCTGATCTGCAGGAGCCTTTTCCTGACTAGTTAGGCTGATGCTTTTTGAACTGAATGAGTGGTGCGGGTCTTATGCACTAGCTGCTTTTACAGCTGAAAAAATGGGGCTTCTGGCAAGCTTCCCAGCAGTGATGTTTCACACGAAAGCGTGCAATAAACTGTATCATTAGAATAGCTGCAGAATTCAGGCCTTGGTCTTTTGATCCTCAGCTGTGTAGCTCTTGAGGTCCAGAATATCAGCACATTGCCATTTTCCATCCATCACCATGCTCCAGCCTGTGGTACAGTAAAATTATCTGCCATGCTCTTCTCTTTCTGCAGTTGGTCTGGCTGGTGAGCTTCTTGTCCGCTTTCTTCCTGAGCCTTCCCTATGGAGTTGCTGTGGGCGTGGGATTTTCCGTGCTGGTTGTGGTTTTCCATACCCAGTTGTAAGTACCAGTGTAGCTACAAAAAAAAAAACCAAAAGAGAAGAAAAATCTCCCAGTTGCAGAATAAACGACAGATTATTTTTATAACCGACCTCTGGCCCATGTTTCGAAGGAACGTGCGGCAGGAGCCTGGGGGAGTGCAGGTGTCCTCCCCAGCCCCTGGAATGTGCAAACAGGAATGGCAGGCGCTAATTTACTGCCTGCATTCTCACTCCTGTGCACAGTTAGCAATGTGCACATCCCAAGGCAGGGGGAAGTCTGCAGGTATTTACTTCAGCACGAGAAGCTACCTGCATAGTTCCCAGCAGAAAATCCTGCTCATAAAAAGAAAAAGCCCCATATATGCGCAGAGACTGGCGTGAAGTTTTCACACCATTTTTAATCCATCAAAGCCCTTTATTAATATTTCCGAGCCTGGGATCTCAAACTGCTGACTCTTTTTTGCCCTGTAGACTCTGCAGGGATGAAATCTAAGTATTTTCATAAAGCAAATTTTCAAATCCTGGTATGGAATGTGAAGCAAAGCAGTTTTCTTCCCTTGCAACATTTACTCTAATTCTGATCGCCTCTTCTCTCCTAGCCGTAACGGCTCTGCCCTGGGCCAAGTAACTTCCACTGACATCTACAAGAACCCTAAAGCCTACAACAAGGTAAGCAGAAACTAAAGCATCCTCAGAGAAAATGCTGTTCTTTGCCACTGGTACCCAATGTGATCAGGAAACTCAAGTCCATGTTTCTGTCTCAGCAAGGTTTTTTGCTGCCTGTTCCAGAGGTAGCAGGAGAGCTCCTGTTCAGTTTGACCGTCCCAGTTATCTACTGGCCAAAATCCCAGCCACCCTGCACGCCACACACACCCCGTCAGGCGTGGTTTGAGCTCTTGTCTCTGTTGCAGGTACACGAACTTAATGGGATTAAAATTGTGACCTACTGCTCGCCACTGTATTTTGCCAACTCAGAGATATTCCGTGAGAAGATTATAGCCAAGGTGAGCAATGCTCTAATAAATTTCTGCTTGCAGCCAATCCCAAATGGCCCTTGCTCTCTCCTGTATTGCTCCGTGGAGATAATTAAGCCTAGGATGTTCACGAAAGATGGTCACGTCCATCCTCTACTCTTCCATCTTTTTCTCCCTGATCTTCAGGACTGTTTGTAGACCTCATTTTTAGAGGTTATGCCTGCATCCTGGCAGGTATCCTCCTCCAAGCTCTGCCAGAGCAGAGTCATCCTGCTACTGCAAGTGTCTCCTCCCTGCATGTGCAGGTACCCTGAGTTACTGAAGATGTTGTTTGGTGGCCGTCAGGATCACCTCACTCCGGTGTACAGCTGGCGCTGTCCTCCTGTGCCACATGCCACAGGCTGGGAAACAGCAGGAAAGAAACAGCAGCCCCTGACTACGGGACTGAACGGACTTTTTCAGATAAAACTCCCTCTCTTTTCCACAGACCGGCGTGGATCCTGGTAAAGTGTACTTAGCCAGGAAGAAATATGTGAAGCGGCAGGAGAAGGGGACAGCACAACCACCAACAAAGATACCAAAATTCTTATTGAGGCAGAACAAGGTAACTCAGTTTGGGTTCCTGTGTTGATGAATAAGACTCCAAGTCCCCATCAAACAGTTCCTCTTGACATAGGATTTTCTGCACTGTCTTCCTAGCCACATTTACCACCTCTTGCCCTCTTTCCTTCCCATCCACATCTCCATTCCTCCCAACAGCCAAAACTTTAAGATGCAGGAGAACTGGAAATGGCTGGGAGCAAGAAAGCCACAGAGACGGCTAGAATGGAAACATGGTGAACAATTTGCTAGAAACTGGGCTTGCCCTCTTTCTCTAAGGATGCATCTATGTCAGCATTTCAGTTCAAAAGTGCCCCTTTGAAGCACATTTCCCAGTCATCCCAGCTTCATTTGGTTTGCATTGCTGAGCAGTCTTGAAGCATGTGAACAGGAATCATTTAAAATTAACCTAACATACTCCAACCCCAAGGGACATTCAGTCCAGCCCAAGTCTAGCACCAGGCTGGAGTTAGTCCAGATTAAAACACTTCACTCCACTGAATAGGTGCATTCACGTGTCAGGATCTCAGCTTGTGCTGATAATTCTGCCCTGCCCTGACTGTGCATTTCTGCTTTGCTGTAGACCTTGTCTTTGCAAGAGCTCCAGAAAGACTTTGAAAGCACCTCTCCAACAGATACCAATAACAACCAGACGACTGCTAATGGTGCCAGCATCTCCTATGTCACATTCCGTCCACCTGCCAACGGTGCTGGGCAAGTGCACACCTCCAGCGAGCTGGGCAGTACCACTACTCTGCAAGGAAGCACATTCAGTGTCATGCCCACAGCAGATGTTGACCCTATGATGACAGCACCACCCTATATCAGCTTTCACACCATCATTCTGGACATGAGTGGAGTGTGTTTTGTTGACCTCATGGGCACAAAAGCACTGGGCAAGGTTAGTTCTGTACTACAAACGTAGCCAAGCAACACATCAACCAGGTACCTTCTACTCTCTTGGGCAACTCAGATAAAGATGTTTACCCTCCTCAAGAGAAGGTTTGTGTGGCTTTCTCCTTCACCTTCCCCAGGATACGTGTAAAGCCCTGGATAAAAGACTTTATGTCTAAACACAAAACTGGAGCAGCAGTGTTATTAATCCTCTCTCTCCCCTCTCATCCCTTCTAGTTGTGTTCCAGTTATCAGAAGATTGGGATTAAAGTGTTCTTGGCAAACGTGCATGGTAAGAATCCACGAAGAACACATTTCCATGTGAACTTCCCCCATTTATGTGCTCCTGACAGACAGGAGATCTTTTTGTGTTCTTTATGCAAACTGTGTGAGCTGTCAGCTTTTTGTTGGACCAAACCAGAACAGATGAAAGAAGAGAACAGAAGAAAGAAAACACTGTTCTCTGTGTGTGAAATAGGTCCTTTCATTTGGGAAGTGATATGACTGGAACACCATCACATTTAGCACATAGAAAAATAGATCCCTACACTCTCCTTTCTATAGCAAACCTGCTTCTTCCTTATGCATCCCAGCCTTGCTTTAGCTCAGAGGACCACCGTCAGCCATGTGCACTATCAAAGGCTTCCTTCTTTGGTTTCCTTCTTGTTCATGTGCTTTTCATTTCTTCAGCTCAGGTGTACAATGACATTAGCACAGGTGGAGTCTTTGAGGAAGGAGGCCTGGACCGAAGTCACATCTTCTTGACGATCCATGATGCTGTTTTGTTTGCACTGGCCAATATCAAAGAAGTTGTCCACCCGCCCATCTTAGAAGAGGTAAACTTGCTCCCCAGTCTTTCTCCAGCTCACAGTACTGTACTATTAGGTTTACACACTGCATCAGCAGAAAGGAAGAATAACAACTCAATACTGCACCTAATATAAGTTTCTTATTTATCTCAAGTGGCAAAGGTCTAAATCCAACAAAATATTTCATCTCCTAATTCTCATGTATGGGCCAAGTACCTACTGACTGAATTGATTTCAATGGGAATTCAGAAGTGTAAATGTCTTCTGCAAACCCCTAGCTGGGAGATGAATGTTGTCCCAGCCTGGAGAAGCCAAAAGATCTGTTCCAGCACTATGCCCTCAGTTTGGTGTTGGCTGGAACATGCAGCTGTACACAAAGGCAGAATTTAGCCCTCGGAAATGAAGGCAAAGCACATGTCCCTGTCCTTGAATAGCCCCAGCATCCATGTATGCTTCCCTTGGTGGGAGGAGAAAAGGCTGAAGCAGGAATGTGGCACATGCTGACAACACAGGGTCAGACAGGCTATTCCCCCAAACATGGGTTGGTTTATTGCATGGTAACTGGAGTTGGAACCAGGGCAGTGTTAGCCAGTTATCTCATGAGAGTAAGTTAAAGTATCTCATACCTCGGCAGAGAGATATGTAAATGCCAGCTCAGTCAGAGGAGATAAACAATTGAAAGAGGATTCCTTCTGTGCCCCTTCTTCCTGGGCATTTCCCTTTGAGCACGTGTGATGTTTTAAGCCTGGGTTAGTAATTTTTTTCATTCCTTTCAACCCTGCACTCTGCTAATTTGTGGATTTGATTCTTTCCTGCACAGATGCCAAACCAGACAGAGCTCTCCATCTATGATGAATCCGTGGATGAAAGCAGTGCAGAGTTCAAGAACTTGGAGGAGGTTAGTTCTAGTGCCAGGGGTCACTTCTTCAGCTGTGGACACAAGGTGGAAATCAGAAGTCATGGTTGGGATTGATTAGATGGGAAGTCCCCTGTGCCACTGCCAGGCAAACTGCTAGCAACAGTAAAGCTTTGAAAAGTTAGACTCAAAAATTATTTAAAATCCCTGTCATGAGGAGCTCTGGCAGGCACCTGGAGGAAGGAGCAGCTAGGTTACCCCACAGGGGAATCCTTTAATCCATTTTGGGCCACACAGCTCAGGTTCACAGTCAGACCTGTGGTCTCTATGCCCTGGGATAAACTTGAAGAACCAGGTTTAGCTCAAGCCCAAAAGAAGGGTCACTGCTTAAGTTTTTCAGCACAGACTTTCTTAATGCTGAAGTGATCTGCACCCACTGAACCCAGGTCCCTGGGAGGAGATCTGTTCCAATGCTGGCCTTCCCCATGCGATCCATGCACAGCTGGAAGCAGAGCAACCTCCCCACCACCAGCTTTCCATTGTGGAGGAGGGCTGGGAAGGGTTGGAGTTTCTGGTGGCGTTTCTCTCTGCGGTTGAATGACTGCTGAGCTGCGCTGCTGGGTTTGTGCCACAGTATCAGCCCTAACCCAGCGTGCCTTGTGTGCCCTTTAGGAGATGTTTGGAAGCATGTTCCACTCAGAGACCCAGACAGCTCTGTGAGCACACAGAGAGCGTCAGCACGCGGGCAAACCCTCCCGAACAGACTCTGCTCTCCCATCCCTTCGTGAAGAGCTGCACTTCTACCTGGGGATACAATAAGTTTGCAAAGCAAGGGGCCATCGTGCCTCTTGAACTGATAAATTCCTCCCTCCTTCCTGCTCTGCTTCTGGTATTCAGAGCAATGGACTCTGGAGCAGGCAACAGAAATCTACGGAAGCTGGAACTCAGGAAATGCCATCTCATTAATTACAGAAGAGAAGCAAGTTTATTCGGAGGCAGGTGCCTTAACACATGGGACGATTAGTCATTATTGCCAAGTGCTCTCCTTTGTCTCACACAATCGCACCCTTCTGCCCACATAGGCATTACGTAATTCAGGCATCCCCCCTCTTTCTTTTCCCTCCTCCCTCTTTTCCTGATGAAGTGAAATACAAGCAAATATCAAGAGCCTCTCACGGCCTTGATTCACGAGCAAAAGCAACTCTTGCAAGGTGCAGCGATGCAGCTCTGTAAGGCAATGTTGTTCTAAAACGTGCACTGACCTTCGGGGTGTCTGCGCAGTAAGTGCAGACCCCTGAATTTCCCTGCGTGTCTGTGTAGCACCACTTCTGCCTTTCCTGTGACCCCTCTTCTATCACCCCCTGCACTGCTGCCTTTGTGATCCAGCGTCCCAGAAACCACTGCCTCAAACCAATGCTGTATTTCTGATACCCCGAAGACGTTGGTACTATCTCTCAGTAGGCTACTTTCTGGATTACATTTTTCTTTTCTTACTAATAGGACTAGCTTGTAACCAGAAATAAGAATTCCTTGTTCCTTTGTGTTACATGCACATATTGTCCTGCCTGTCCAGTGGGTTGAGTGTGTGTTCAAAAGACCCAGGGTCCAGTTCAAATCCCCTCTGAAGTTTTTTAGGGATCTTTCTACTGACTGAATGGCGCTTCAGATAAGGCTCTTAGACTGTGAAAGGCATGAAAGCATTAATCCCAGGGCATTCTGACTCTTCCCATCTTCTTGTTGACTGGAACAACTAAAAGATTTAGACTAGAACATGGATGAGTGCTTTGGGGAAAGATGTTTTTCCCAAATCATTTTGATCACAAGTAGCAAATTCTAGGGAAAGGGAAGGAAGCCCTTTCTGCACACTTTTCATGATGCCATCGATCCAGAGCAGTAAAACTGAAATTTGAGTGTATTTTATGCCTGCAGCTAAGGAACAGCCCACGTGACACCCTGTGCTATGCAGGGCTTCTGGTGACAAGCTCTCAAATGGTCACTTGTGCAGCAAAAGAAAACTCTTGTATAGTATGTGATATTTCCATAACAATTCTTTACTACATGTTTGATGATTTTCACTAAAATTCACCCCAGACTGATGCTACCAGGACCATCTACCTCTCAGGCAAACAAGCTTGCCTCACTAACCCAGAGACAGACAGCTGAGATCTTAATAATTTCTAAAAATCTGACATTCTTTTATATTTGAGTGATGCTAATAACAACTGCTATTTTAGTTTCCTTTTCCGATGCCTTCCGTTCTTACCCGGTGCTGATGTTGTGACAGTAATGACAAGATGACAATATTTCTTCAGTGCATTTCAACCTCAAATATGGCTTTTACGAAAATAAGGTTATAAAAAAATAAGATAAAGACACATACTGGTATGCCTTCAATTGCAATGAAAACAATTTCTTTTGTTTGAATTTCAAGTCTTCCTACAAAGTATTTCCAGCACTGGGATAAAATGCAAGAGTCAACAAGAAAAACAGAACAGTAATGGAAGTAAAAGTGAACAGTCTGTTATCTTTCCATGAATGCAAAAAATAAAGAGTGGCCTTAATAATGAAAGTAGATTATATTTTTTAAAGTTATTTCTATTTTATTACTCTAAGATATTAAAAATATTAGCAAGCTTTAATGTACAGTTTTGAAGTACATATTCATTATTGAGCTGATTCACTAGCAGATTGCTAGGAGGCTTTCTGGGGAGAGAAAGTGGGGCTTTCCTACAGCTCCCAGATGTCTCATTTTTAAGGAAAATAGAGCTTCATGAACCATCACAGCTAGACAACCATTAAAGGAAACAACATCAGGACCCTGCCAGTTTGGTTTTATGTAACACCTCATTAACTAAGTCACCATTTCTCTACCTCAGTTTCTGATTATGTGGTGCAGGAGAGAGTAATAAAACCAAAGGAGGTTAGTTTCCAAAAGGAAAAACCCACTAACTAATGGTTATTACTTATTTTAATCTTAGACAGCAGTGATTTTTCCAGAACCATGTATAGCTTGTTCTATAAGGTAAAATCAAGAGATTAATTCTCTTAAATTATCTTTGAGGGTGATTACTCATGGTCTTTTGTTACTGCCTGAGTGCTTCTTTTACTTGCTCATTTGAAAAAAGCAACAAAGAAATTGGTGCAATGGAACAAGAAACTATCCTACAGTAGCTAATCAGTATTTCTGTATCTCTGAGGTGGCATCATGTTAAATGAGGAAAATTCCAATTTCCAGTTCTTCATTCAGGGTTAATTACAGCAGGCTGATTTCACAGTCTCAGGGGCCAACAGGCCAAACGCAGGAAGCCTCAGAGCAACAGACCTTGTATAAAAATAGACTGTATTTCTTGAAGTTCCTACAAGCATAATGGATGGGATGTCAAGAGAGACGGCTTGAAAGTAGCAGCAGTGACTATATGCTCTCCGATTCTGATGACCCAGGAAGAAGAATACCTCATTTCTGCAGCCATGGGCCAATTCTGGCAATAAATGTAACATCAGTGGGCAAATGGCATTGCTGGAGGCCAGCTCAAAGTCTTAATTTCCAAGTGCCCAGGCAAGAGAATTAGGGAAGCTCAAATTCACGCTGGGGTAGAAAAGTTTTAATTTCCAGTGTCCCTTTATTGCTCTTAAAGTAACAGTGATGTTGATGTGTAATGGCTCTGAAGCCTTACTTGATAAATGCATGATGTATAACCAGCTCAGAAATGTTTGTAATTTATTTAATTTAATATTGGTTTTGTTCTTTTTTGATAATAAAGAATGTGTGAACAATCATCCGCTGCTTCTGCTGATTCGAGAGCAGGCTTTCCATGGCAGCTCCCATCCAGTATCAAGCATCTCGGGACAGTTTATGCCATGGGAAGATGGGATAAATCTTCAAATTCAGTACAAGACAGCTGTAAAGAAGGGAAGAACAGTTTTTCCATCGTGCTCCCTGGTGAAACCAGGCAAGAAGCAATGCATTTTGAAAGCCAGGCCGATTTAAACCCTGTCAGGAGTGGGGCTGGCACACCCGAGGGCACACCACCGTGCCCGACTCAGGCCCGTCCCTCGGCCTGGTCCTCACCAGCATCCTCCTCCCCAACTTGGGGCTCTCACTGAACCTGGAGGTGGTTATTCCCCATGGGCGTCCCTTTTCCCTCCAAGGGCCCCCGCATTTTGAGAGCAGCATCCTGAGTCCCAGCGCTCTTGGCCTTCCAGCGGGCTCCAGGCCCAAGCCAGGGTGAGGGGACATTCCCATTATTGCCTGCTGTTGTGGGTACCAGACACAGTTCGCCACAGCTCCTAAACGTCCCCTCGAGATAAGGAACATGCGATTTCACGGAGAGAGAGAACCGAAGCGCCCACCCACGTTCCCGCCCGCCGCCATTTCGAACGTGCCTCGGCGCAGAACTACAACTCCCGTGAGCACTCGCGGTGGGGGGCGGGCTCAAGCCGCCCATTGGCCACCCTCTCGGGCAGGTGCGTGACGATTGGCGTTCGGCTACGCCCGTCCGTTCCTCAGCGGGGCGGGCGGCAGCGGCGGCCCGAAGTCCGCCGGGGATGGCGGGCGGGAGCGGGCGGCGGTGGGGGGTGGCGGGGTGGGCCGCGGGCCTGGGGCTGTGCGCGGTGTTGCTGGCGCTGGTGGCCGCCGTGCTGCTCCGCGCTTACCTCCTGCGCTCCCCGGCGATCCCGCGGCTGTGGGCAAGGCGCGGCGGCACCGTCTCCTTCAGTGCCGGCGAGAGGCTGGAGCTCAAGGAGGCGCTCCGAGGTGAGGGGGCCCGGCGGGCCACCCTGGCTGGCCCCGTTCTACCGGCCCACCGAGCCTCCTCGGGGGCCTGCAGCCTGTGTGCCCCTCTCCCAGCCCCGGGTCAGGGGTTGTTGTCGGCCCCCTGTTTCCCCGGCGTCGCGGCTGGGCCGTCCCGAGCTCGCCCTGGGGCTTATGGTGGCCCTCTGGCAGGGAGAGAGGTCGGCGTCAGGGGGCCGGCCGTGGGGCACGGGTGGGAACGAGGACGCCACTGAAGAGGGACGCTTCCTCAGGTGCTTTCCCCTTGGAGGAAACCGGTTGTTTGTTCTCCTAAAGCCAGCTTTCTTCCTGTGTTGATTTTCTTCAGTGTTTCCCTCTCACACCCGCAGAAGGCTCCAGGCACCTCGTGACTGCGTTTGCTAGGCGTCTTTTTGTCCACTGGATAAATCATTGTCAGGTTGTTTTTTCTTTCTTGCTGACTGAAACCTTGCACACTGCTTCACTGCAGGCAGCCTGTCTGTAACAAGGGTGTGTTTGTGCTCTCTGACATAGTCTTCTGCAGAAGCCTTTGAGGCTATTTGGATCTCATGAGGTTGGCAGTTTGCAGGAAACCACAATCTGGCATAAAGCAATAGTCCTGGACTGTTCAAGTAGGAGTTGGGTTCTTGTAAATCTCATACGTTGCTGGCGTGTAAGATTTATTGCCTAGAAAATTGTGTTTACATACTTTTTTAATGGGAAAATGCAGGGATACAAAAGATATTTATTTTTGTGTTTCTTCTTGAATAACACGACCTTGAAAAGAATTTGTAACCTCACTTGACAGATAGTGTTAGGAAAGGCAGCTGTGATTGGGACTAAGTTATACCAGTGTTTTGCATGACAGTCGCTGGATGTTGGAGAGCAGCCTTGTCTGACCCTGTTTAAATTACAGAGCAGACTAGAAGGACCAACAAAAGACTTGTCTATTTATATGTCTTAATAGGTTGGAGCAGTATGAAAGAAGGTGTTATAAACAATCTTGCCATCACAACCTTGACTTACTATTGAAAAAGAACCTTGAACTGCCAACTAAGCTGCCTGCTTAGCTGCCAGAAGTTTATGACTATGAGGAATCAGGTCACCTGAGCAAAATGCAGCTCCTTCTGGACAGTAGCATTTCTAACAATATCATTCAACACTTTAGGCTTAAAAATGGAGTTGAAGTATCTAGAGGAATACCTTGGCTGAAACTGGGAGGAAATACCGGTGTGCTGCACGCGCACAGCTCAGCTGGAATACATCAGTCTTTTTGGATAGTGGCAGCTCTTGCTATCTGTGAAATAATCTTTAAAGCCTGGAAAATATTCAGGAACGTAAATATTTTCCCTTTTGAAATGCAGTTCAAGTATTGTTTGACTGATTGCAGTGTCGAATGATTTCTGTTTTGTATTTCATTGAAGGTGCTATTAAAATCCCAACTGTTTCCGTATCTCCAGAGGACTTTAATACAACTGCCATGGCAGAATTTGGGAATTACATTCAGAAAGGTACTGAACTTTCATTCTTAGCAATCTCTGCTGCTCAATTGTATTTTTGTAAACAAATTGAAGAGAATATATGGTTCTTGAGTGTAATGGAACAGATTTTTATTTTGTTTTTTTCCTCAGGAAAGGACTGGCAAAATGGCATACATAAGTCACCTCTGCAACAGCGTACTTTGGTGTAGCAATGGCCAAAGCTAGAACAGACAAGGTTCCAATGTCTTTTTGCAGTGGTGGTTTTTGGTCCTCAAGCTGGTTAAATGACTTTGCCATTAAAAAGAAAAAAAAAAAAAGAGGAAGACTACCCCTGCTTCAGCCTACTTTTTTGGCAGTCCTGTCATTGCTACCTGCAAAACAGCTGCAGCACTGGTGAACAACAGTTCCTGGTTTTGCTTAGGAAAGTCTTAAATACAGAGTGAGGTGGATTGGTAGAAGTATGAGAACGAAGCTGCACATCTGCTTCCTGAAGGAAATTTGTTGTGGTCAGTCTTATTTACAGTGCTCCCATTGAGGCTAAAGAGGTGACTATTCTATGGAGTGTATAATGATAAAATCGGACGTTATTGTTAATTTTTCTTTTTCACTTGTTTTTAATTTTTTTCTTAACAGTCTTCCCGGCTGTATTTTCTTCAAAGTTCATTCAACATGAAATTGTTGGGAAATACAGCCATCTCTTTACTGTTCAGGGTTCTAACCCTGAAATGATGCCCTATATGCTGCTTGCACACATGGATGTTGTGCCTGCTCCCCCAGAGGGCTGGGATTTCCCTCCTTTCTCAGCTGCAGAGCATGAAGGTTTCATCTATGGACGAGGAACGCTGGATAACAAAAACTCTGCCATAGTACGTCATCTTGGTAATATCATTTCAGAGAGATACAAAGCTTGAAAAAGGCAGATTGGAGGAATCTATTCTCTTTAAATTTACTATATTGTCTCTCTTGCCCCTCTTTAAATGCAGGATGTTAGTGATAAATGCCTAAGCCCTGCAGTTTTCTCCCAACTTTTCCTAGAGAAGAAGCGGAGTGTTCTTTTGTCACTGAAGAAAGCAGAGTTAAAGCTCTTGGAAGATACAGAAAAACATATTCACAGATGCAAATGTATTTGGTTAAATGACATATTTAAATTTGATGTCAAATGCTGTGTTTGAAATCAGGGATAGACCTTTTACTTTTTCCCAGGTGTCACATGGGCATTCAGAGCCAAACTTGGCCCTTTGAAAAGACTTGAGTTTCAAAATAAACAATGTTTATTTAATATTACAGTCAAATAACCTTGTATCTTTTATCTAGTCTGTGGCAGAACAAAGAGCTGTTGTACTAAGTACATTTGGGAGGAATAAAGTACAAAAAAGATTGATCTGTGAAGGATTTCTTATTTGGGAAAAGGTTGGTGGAAAAATTAATAAGGAAAACAGTCCTTTGTGACTTGCAAAGATTACTACCATGACAGCCCTGTATTTAAATTTAAACAGCTGTTTAGCAAACCAGTGTCACAGGTGCTGTGACTGCTTACTGTGGCATAGGCCATACTCCTATAAAGTTTATTCAGGTTGTTTAATCATCAATCTCAAAGCCTTGCAACTTAGAACTTTGTTTTGGTGCTTCCTTCTACTGTGAACTGCACAAGTAACTCCACAAACGGACAATAAAAATCAGCAATTTCAGTGAACACTGCAAAAATGGGTGCTGACAAGGTAGAAGCGATACAATTTCTCCTAATGTAAAAAATTAACTAGCTTAAGTTGAAAAAACAGGTGAGATGGAATAATATAGCGAATGGTAGATTTCATTTCTCATTCTTCAGATTAAGTTTCTCATTCTTCTGTTTCTGTCATCTTAGCATTTTTGTACAAAATATACTGCTCATTAAAATAAATGGATTTGGTAGCTCAAGTCAGAGCCAAACTGTGTGTAGGATAGGCAGTTTAAAGGAACAGTGAATTCCTTGGATAATTATAACTGTTGTGCTTCCTGTGCAGTTTGTCACTGACTTCATCAGTAGCAAGAACAAGCCTATACTGTATTTTGTGTATGTACACTGACACTGTGTAGCACACTAAGTCTTAAGCATTATTGATCAAAAAAACTGCAGCGTTTTTTCCAGAGAATACGAATATCATCAGTAGGAGCTGTAGAAATAAAAGCTTAACTGTGAACAGGACAAAGTCTCCTTAAAGGCTGTGGATGCATCACATTTCTTTCACGTTGCATTGCATTCTTTTACATTTATTCTTCTTACTAACACACAAAAGTAGTACAATACATTCTGCTTTTTTTTTCTGCAGGGTATTCTGCAAGCTCTAGAATTTTTGCTGAAAAGACATTACAGACCACGCAGATCTTTCTATGTTGGTATTGGACATGATGAAGAGGTATTTTCTTTCATTTCATCAAAATAATGAGTTGCTTGCGTTGTTCGTGTATGTAGCAAGGCTTAATTTTTAAACACTGTTTAGCTAGAAAGTCTTTCCTGTTTTTCTTGGTTATGTGGGTAGATACTGTGTCAGGCATGTGGTGATAGTTATATATTGATTGTTTGGCTTTAAATTACATTGACAAAGGGTTTGGTGCGATGAGCAAAGGGAAGAGAACACAGTAGAATGTTAGTTCAAATTCTTTTCTGCATGGAAGGTGCAGCAGGAGTTGCGTTTTGGAGTATAGTACATGAAAACCTGGCTTAAGGTTTACACAGTTGTTCCAAATGATCAGGAAGAGCTAACAAAAATGTTCCACTTTTGTTGTGGGTATGCTCACTAGTAAAAGGTACAAAGACAGATGAGGTGGTTTTGTTTATTAGTTTTCAAAATATAAAGACAAAGAATTGTTAATAGTTAAAATGAATACCTCTTTAAAATGACTAATCTGTGGAGCTTAAAGCTCTGAGATACCATTGTGTCCAAGACCTAGTAGGATTCAAAGTAATGTTCGGTGACTTGTGAATGAGATCATTCCTCAGTGTGGATATAAATTCATCTGCTACTAGGCTGTTAACAATCTCCAATGAATTTTGCTAGGAAGAATCTTTTATTGACAGGTTGCTCTAGAGCTCTTCACTAGGGGATTTCTTGCATTCTTCGCACTGTAGCACTGATCACTGTCAACAGCAAGATGTTTTCCAGAATTCTTCCCAATGGCATAGCTTAATCTGATCAGTTCCTCTGGATTCTCACAGGTGTTTGGTCGGAAGGGAGCAATGAAGATTGCAGCTCTGTTGGAAGCTAGAGGAGTGAAACTCTCCTTCTTACTAGATGAGGGAAGCGCAATACTAGATGGCATCATTGCGGGCGTGAAGAAGCCAGTAGCTGTGTAAGAGAGAATGCAATTGACCATGATGAAAGTGATCCATTTTCAGTAATTAATTTGTGGGAAGTGACCTTGCTAATGTCAGTAAAATATGTTTTCAAGGCATGTGGCAGTGTTCGTGTTGCTAAAGCTACAGCAGTGGCAAAAAGTGCAAGCAAAGGACCTTCAGCATTTGCTTGCCATCCATCACAGCTGTGCTGACAAAAGCAGAATGTTCCACTTAGCCAGTGCAAGCATGTTAATTTTATGCTGTAGAGTCTGCTCACTGGAGAAGCAGCCAAGACATCAGTACTCCAAATATCTAAAGGTTGTTAAGGATTTGTTGTTGCTGCTTCTCTGGTGTTTTTTATGATACTAAAAATAGGCAGAGTAGTTCATTTTACCTATAGTCTGTGCATGTGTTTGGAGTTGCATTAATGTTTTACTTATTTATCATTGACCAGAATTGCTGTCACAGAAAAGGGTTCATTAACACTGAACTTCACTGTGGAAAAAGAGCCAGGACATTCATCCTTTCCTCCTAAGGAGACAAGTATTGGCATTCTTGCAGCAGCGATGTCCAGGTGAGAGCTTCGCTGTCGTCTGACATCAAAGACAGTCAAGCAGACTCCTAAGTCACTGATACGTGACTTTCTTTTTTAATATTTGTATTTATAGTATTTTGCAATTCCCTTTATATATTTGAAATTGAAATTTGTAGCGCACTTTGAAGGGCAGAAATGCAATCCCCAGCAACGGGACAATTGCCAAGTGTCTGAAGTGTCTTTTCACTTCAACTGTTCCTAGTGTCAGTTGATTCTTTACAACCAAGACAATTGCTGCGTCATTATGTCTACCATAATTTTGTAGTGATAGAGATTGCTTTGACTGGGTTGCAGAATTTCTCTGGAATTTATTCTTGCACATACCTGCTACCTCTAGCTGGTAATTATCCAAGCCAGTAAACATGGTGTAAAGTCAGAATGTGACTGGGTGAATCTTCATTACCTCTCTGTGTAGGTATCAAATTGGCTAATAAATACATATTTTAGAAAAACTTAATATGTCCAGATATGAAGGAATTTGGTGTGATATTTTTCTAGATTTCCATGTATTCTTTACAAGAGTCAGGCTTTTGGATTTTTTCAGCTGTTCTTGAAAGAAAGCCTTTGCATGTGACTGGAATGCTCAGAAATCTGTCGTGGAGGTGTGCTCACAGATATACTTACCAGGAGAGGAAAGTGTGATTGCATCTCAAATACATGGATACATTTCAGAAATCAAATTCCTATCAACCTTCTGGAGCAATAATAGTCAGAGATTTTTTAAATTTCAAGTGTTGATTGCTTTGCCGTAGACTGGAGCAGAATCCCTTGCGCAATCTGTTTGGCCATGGACCAGAACTCATGACTGTGGAGCACCTTGCATCAGAGGTGAGGAAAGAACTATGATTTCATTCTCAGATTTTCATGTTAGTAAGTGAAGAGTAACCCAGCATATGAATTTAGAGCATAGTTACGTAGTTCCTGGAAAGGAGAAGACTTGAGCTGGCCTTTCTCCCAGTTAACTGTTTCTGCTGGAATTGTTTCAACCATAGCCAAGTGACTACACTGTCTTCTTAAAAAACAGGAACTTTCTGATTTGTGGTTTTGTTTCTTCCACTTAGTTCAGGTTTCCTCTCAATCTCATCATGAGCAATCTATGGCTGTTTTCACCTATTGTCAGCAGGTAAGAAAATACATCCTTGATGACCATTCCCAGCCTCTCGCCCTTAAAAGATTAAGACCACTGGCCATTTCTAGTCGTCCCAGGAAATCAGTTATACCATTTCATAGTTTAGACAATGTCACTGCTTTACCATTAATAATCACTTTGTTAATTGAATAGGCCATCATTCAGCTTATTGCCTATGTAATTGTGGTGCTTATGTTTTATCAATATTACTATTTCTGAAATTTTTTTTTTCTTTTTTGTAAGAGTTCTTGCCTGGAAACCTTCCACCAATGCCTTGATTCGAACTACTACAGCAGTCACGATGTTTAATGCAGGGATCAAGGTAGCTTCATTTTGATTTTTCTCCATGTAGTATGATGAGACAATTAGGATGTTTGCTTTCCAGCTATTTATATCCAGTTATGAGATGAGTACAGGCCCTGGTGTTAGACCCTGTGTGGTGTCACCACCAGTCTCATTTTTACTTTAGATTTTGGGTTTAGCTACAGTTGAAAACTTTCAGAAGTATCTGATCTCTGTCACAAAAAGATCTCTCTAAACCAGTGTTAAGATTGTTTATATTTTAGGATGGACAAGAAAGAGAGTTTTCTGTGTAATCATACAAAGTATCAATGACAGTATTTGAAACTGTCACAGTTGTAAACACTTCCCTAGCCCAGATGGGGTCTTGCGTTTGTGAGCGCAAGTCTGGCATTTACCTTCATTCAAGTAACATTAGTGTGCACCTTGGACTGAGAGATAACAGGTTCTGGCTGATACAGCCGGATCTTGCCTTGATAAGGAGGTGTAGCTATCCAAAAATATTGTAGCCCTGGAAAATAAACAAGCTGTTTGGTGTGTCCCTGAAAAAAAATCTGTTACTGAAAAGCATCACTGGACAAGAAAACAAGATGCAGTGGCTGAACAGTGACACTGAGTGGCCAGGAGAGAAGTGACACCCTGGTTTCTTGTTTAACGAAATTATAAATACTCATTCTGTAGAAAAGAAGAGTTACGTGTGTTCAGTAACATCGTTTGTTAAGTGACTTACATACTTGGGGAAAAGTAATATGACAATGAGGTAAAAATATTGCTTAAAAAAACCAACAAACTTTCAGAGTTTGTCGATATAAAGTTTCTGAAGGGAGAGGGCTTATCTCAAGAAGAAAACTTCTATATAACAGCTAACTTCATTTTTGTTGAATTGATGAATATTTCTTTGTGTAGTTATCTGCATTATAGATGAGATTTATGGTATTTTAACACAGAATACAGAAAGAGATATCACACTTAGTGGAAATGGTGAAGCATTAGTCTGAGGCCTGGAGTTGTTTGAGCAGTTTATGAGTTTTCAGTTGGCATTTTAATCTGTTTTTAACTTCCTTTTAAATTTTCGTCCTTCATTTTTTCTAGATCAATGTCATCCCATCTTCTGCAAAAGCAACCGTGAACTTCCGGATCCACTCTGCAGAGAAGGCCACTGAGGTACTTACTGTACCCCCAGATGTGAGGCTGTTCTCCATCCCTTTCTGAGCAGAGTGGCACTGGGCCGTTTGTGGCAGCAGATCTGTTCTGTAAGAATACTCTTTTCGTCTCTCCCTGTATTCATACAAGCAGTAGAAGGGGAAGATTTGGGAATTGCTCCTTTATGGAGACTGTCAGAAACACAGCTTATCTAAGGTCTTTTCTTCTCCTTTGAGATGGCTTGCAAAGTGCATTGTTTACTATGGCTTCTTGAATGTGGAGCAGAGCAAGAGGCAGACCAAACTTGCAAGCGTGCCTTGCAGTTGGATCGAGCAGATTTCAGAAGTCTTTTTGTGCCAGAGAGCACATGGATCATATGTGATTATGGAATGGAAGCATTAACGTTTGTGACCTGTGAGAATATGGGAATCTTGCACGCTTCAGTAGGTATGACATACATGCCTGTCCAGCCAAGGACAGCTGTGAAACATTGTCAGTAAATAATATGTTCCCTTCCCAAGGCTTTGCTGAAAGTTTACCTCTCTGGAAGCTTTTTCTGGATTATTTACTTGGATGACCTAACTGCCAAGTAGGAGCAGGTTAACCACCTGCCTTTCAGGACTGAAGCAGTTCAGGAATACCTTGAGACAGTGATGTGCATCTGATTGCACTGGGGTTAAAAAAAATTAGCTTAAGTATCAGCCATCCACTGAGTAAGAGGAAAAGAGACTGCCACGCTGTTTCAGTCCTAACTATCCATCTGTGTTTGCAGCCACAGTTGGCAGATCATGGACAAATGTTTTCTGGAAAGTGGAACATTTGCTGATATCTAGAAGGGATGTGCTCTCTTTTTTTTTTTTTTTTTTTGCTTATTTAATCTCTGTGTTTTACCCATAGGTACTAGAGATAGTTAGAAACACAGTTGCTGATGACAGAGTGAAGATTGATGTAGTAGAGGCCTTTGACCCACTCCCCATCAGTCCTTGGGATGACCAGACATTTGGAGTCCATATTTTTCAAAGAACCATTCTGGATACTTTCCCAGATGTTGACAGTGTAGTCCCAGGTAACAGCAAGCACATGATGATTATTGTTTCCTCTCCAGCTTCCGCCCTGCTTTTCTCTCCCCCATCCCCCAATATTGACTTGTTTCCATTTTCTGTGTACTTCTCCACCCCAGCTGTTAACTGCTGGAAACAGCTGTTTTTTCCTCTTTTTATTCCATTCCCTATTTATGTTTTAAAAGTTTTAATGTTGTTTTTTAGTAGTGGAAGTAAAAAAGCAAACAGGAAACTGACAGAAACAATGAGCCTTGAATTTGACTCTTTGCACATACAAAGGAATCTCTTCAGGGAAGAAAGGAATTGTGAGGGAGAGTAGGAGGTCTTCTTGCTTTAGCTCTTCTTTTATTGTTTTCATAGCTGGCAAAGCCATTGCTGCTTTTCTGTATTGTTCCTTATGATCCCAGCCCCTTCCCTTTCTCGCAGCTCCTTCTTAGTTCTGTACTGTTTGTTGGACTGCAGTTTTAAGGTTAAACTTTTGTGGAGGCTGAGTATCATGGCTGTTCTTAGAATGATTGAATTGTATGTTCAGCTCCTCCTGTTCATAGAGAGAATGTTCTTCCAGGATGTACCAATAAACTGTTTCCAGTGATTTTGCTTTTGTTGTAGCTAGAGGTTATATAGAACTGTTATCAGATGCCTTTCCTTTCTCCTGGGAAAAGTGTGGGTCATTAAATTGCTGCTTTCATGCAAAGTAAACCTGAGGTTTGTTTTCCAGGCACATGTATTGGAAACACAGACAGCAGGCATTTCACTAACGTCACAAATGCCATTTATCGATTTAACCCACTGCTCTTGAAATCAGATGATCTTCCCAGGTACTGTATTCTGGCTGCATGTGGGCAGCTTTTTGGGGTGGGGACAAAGAGAAAATCGATATGCGTTAGGCAGAAGAAGGAAACCCAACCTTGTATACCTTGGCGTGGTGGTGGTGTCGCCTCACATTCTGTTAGGCCACCCATTTCCTGCAGATTTGGGTGCTGCACAAATAGGGGATGGTAATTACACTGGGAGAGTGTTAGCCCTTACCCTTCTTTACTTCAAATGCTTGCAAGACCTCATTTAGGTGTCCCATTCGGTAGTACACCAATGCTGTGAAGCTAACTGGATCCTTTATATAGTGCAGCAGTGTGAAAGGTGTTGTTCTGGTGGTTGGCCTTGTTTAAGAGATTTATCTGTATGTTTGGACACATGCCCCTCTGAATTTATTTGCTCCTTAAAGCTGGCAGTTAGGTTTCCTGGAGCAAAGTGATAACAAAGAACATCATCATGCAAGGGACTGTTTGTTTATTTAGCATGTACTTGATTTGTCATTTTATTGAGGTGCAGATGATACAGGAGTAGAGTGTTCTTGTAACTGTATAGCACAGTGACATAAATGGCCAAGAAATGGGCAGAGAGCTGGAATACTGTTTTTTTCTTTTCCACATACACCATGGACTTAGTTGTTGTGCTCTAAGCCTTAGAATCATTAAATTTGGTTGGCCTAAGGAACAGACATTGCAGTTACAGTACAGTATTTGTTGTATATTGCTATATTTTTATGTTGTGCATTGCTTTATGAAGTGAACAGGGAAGTAAGGTGCTGGATATATGCAGGTGGGTCACAAATACACACTGGAATGAAAAACATTCTTCTTTTTCTTCCAGGATCCATGGGTTGAATGAGAGAATCTCAGTTGAGAATTATGAGAAACAGGTCGAGTTCCTCTTTCAGCTGATAAAGAACTGTGATACTGACAAGCTTCCGGAGCCTCACGCAAACTCCCACGAGCTGTGAGAAACACACCAGAGACAAGCAGCTACTAAGGTGGACTCTGGGATAGCAGGGGTCTGAACTCAGTTGTGTGTTGCATATTGAGCTGCGTCTGGAATTTGGGTTTTGTATATTGTCGTTTATGTACAGATGGAAAAACTGCTGGTTGCTGCTTTAGGCAAATTTACAGTTTGCTGGAAAGTGATAAGAAACTGGGCAAAATACAACAAATGACCCTGATTTCTGTTCTTCTCTGGTCTGACATGCAGCCATTAATCTGATGGTATTAATTCTTTCAGCGCTTTCTTTAAGCCTTTGAAATTGGTAGGCACTTAAAAATCTAAGCTATAATCAGCAGTCACTCACCTATCAGTAAAAGAGGTGAATCTTCCTATGTGTGCTTTTGACAAACTCATTTTATACAGTTAATTGATTTTTCACAAATGATGTCTCTGTCAAAAGCTCACGTGAAAGGCTTGTGACAGAGCATAGGTTTCATGTAATTGGTAGAGTTACACTAAGAGTTTGTTGCACTGCTGCTTGGTATGGGCTTCTTCCCCAGGCGATTCTCTCAACTGGCATCAACGGTGCTCTCAACCAGTGTCAGTGTTAACTTGATACTGCTAAGTTCTCCCATACATGCACTGATTTCTGTCTCTTTTTTAAAATACTGAGCTCCAGAAGTTCTAGCTATATTGCTTTAACTGATGTTGCCCTGATATCAAAGGTGCTGAAAACTTTTCCTCCTGTCTTCTCAGTGACTTTTTTCTTTTTCCCCTCTCTCAATCTTACTTATGGCCCAGGGTATGTTGTGCAGCTGAGTGTCAGAATAAGGAATTGCAGCTTTAAATAAGAAACTAAATCAGTGTTGTCTGCTCATATATATTCTCTTTTCACTGAATCAGTTTCTGTAGTGGATGTTTCTCTTTTGCTTCTCTGAGAACTTGATTATGAAAGATAGCAAAGCCATTCAGTTTCTTCCAGTTCAGTGGGAGCAGAAAGTCTTTGTTCCTTCACTGCCTATGCAAGCAGTTTTCACTTTACTGCAGCACTTCTGTTGACTCAGCTCTTTGGGAATCCTAGTGTAGACAGGCCATGGATGTTGATTCTATTTCATCTTGCACTTCTTGCACTAGCATGCCTATCTTTGTTAGCACTAAAGGGTTAAGCATTCTTTTGGCCTTGATAGTCTCTTTACTTGGGTTTACTGTTATTAATTAAAGAAAGAAAGAATCAAGAACCAGATGTTAGCCAAAGTAAAAACTGGGTGAAAGCTGCTTTGTTATACTGACATGCAGACTGTGCTGCAGGTACTAGTCCAACTCCTCCTTTTGCACTGTTGCAGAGATATGTGTCTCTTTCAGAGTTTGAATTATACACTAGAATGGGTGGTTGTTCTGCTCTAAATTCATATTGTAAAATGTACTGGAATGTACAGGAAATACCCTGAAACGTATCTGGAAAAACAGCGATGGAACTGTGATTCCTATTCTTTCCGTTCACCATTCTCTTTATTTATTTGCAGTCTGATCTTATCAGTATGGCCAATGGGCTAAAACTGTATCAATCTACTAAATAATTGAAACCAGATCAGCATTTTAATCTAATAAAACAAGGCATGCAGATTCTTTTCTGGTTATTATTTAGTCTTTTTATGTAACTGTATAATTGCAGTGAAGTCACTTCCACACCTGATTCTACACTAGAGCAAGTCATAAAGTTTCCATCAAAACAAATCCACATATTTTCCTGCCTGCTTTAATCTTTGCACCCTCCCTGGTGCTCCCGTTTCTATACAAAATTAGCTAACTCTGTTTGTGCATTGCTGGGTAGTAAATAGCTTGCATCTTTTACGGTTTATTGCTTTTTGTCTGTGTGCCCTAACGTCATTAATTTGTTTAGCCGCATGTCTATGGCTCTTTTGTGAAGGTGTCATTCCTCTTGCAAACTCCTGTTGCAGACACAGCAAAAGTGATGTGTCAGGATATAGCACAGAATAAAATACATTCCCGGGAGTGGGAGGTGGAGGAAAGTTTTGTTTGTTTTTTCTCTGGCAAATCTCTATAAAGACGACTGAGTCTAAAGCCTTCACTTTGACTATGGCAGTATGGGGTCAATATTGTTTGACATCTTCATTAATGACCTGGGTAATAGGACAGTGCATCCTCAGCAAATTTGCAGATGATGCAAAACTGGGAGGAATGGTTGACTCACCCAGTGGTTGTGCTGCCATTCAGAGAGACCATGACGGGCTGGAGAAATGGGAAAACAGGACCCTCGTGAAGTTCACCAAAGGGAAGTGCAAAGTCCTGCACCTGGGGAGGGATAACCCCATGCTGGGGACTGGCTGGCTGAAAGGCAGCTTTGCAGAGAAGGTCAGAGAGGTCCTTCGTGTCGTCGTTGAACACGAGCCAGTAACGTGCCTTGGAGGCAAAGAAGCCCAACAGCATCCTGGGTGTAAAAATTAGATGATGTCCTGAGATCCCTTCCAGTCTCAACTGTTCTGTGATTCTGTTGTAGGACACAGGTTGCCAAAATCCTAACTTGGGTCATGCTGTTGTGCCATGAAGGCAGTGTTGTGGAAGGCGGGATTTGTTGCCTCTTGTAATAACAAATGGGTCCTAAAGACATAAAGCATCCCTTATATTTTGTAATCTCCTGTCCCCAACCAAAAATCACTCATCTCTGTGTTTTGGTGAGGATTGTTTCTTTAATGAACATTCATCTGAAGATTCATTTTGCTGCTGAAGGAAATGTGAAAGGCAAACAGTGCTGGGAAGACAGGGTTGGTTTTGGCCCGTACTGTGCAAATGTGTGCTGTGAGGTTTCGCTAATGCAGCTTGTTGCAGAGCCTCATTAAGTGCTGCTCATCAGCCAGTGCTGAAATCATGCAGTTCCTCTGCATTGAGTAAATGTTCAGAGCTTTACTGCAACCTGAAGCCACTAAACTGAAGTGCTTTAAACAGACTGTATCTTGCAGGATGCAATGGTGAAAAAGCACATTTCTCATCTCTGCCCATTTTTCCAGTCACTTCTGATAATTGTCTGTGCTTTTTTCTGTGCAGCAGCTTTGCCCTTCGTATTCTTAAGTCTCCTTATTTTATCATATTAGCTGCCATGTCACGCTTATCTGGCACAATTCTGAAGGGTTGCACAACGGTTTGGTATCTGCACACGTCTCCTGACAGAAGAGTTTTCTTTCCGCCATGTTTTACTGCTCCCATGAGATGTTTTCAGAGAATGTCTCTCATCTTGAGTGGTATTTGAAATCTTAGTGTCATCATGTAAATAACAGCGTAAGGATGGTGCGCTGGGCTTTCCTGTTAAGATCGTATACAACTTCGCATTGTATGAGTAGTTACTTGATAATGCCAAGTATGTCATGAAAACACAAGATTAATAGCTCTGTTAGCTTTTTCTTTTTAATGAGTCACTGTGCTCTCAGCATGCACAGCAATTACTTCTGATTCATCAAAGAAGGAAAAGCCTGATTTTCTGCTCTGAAGGCACATAACTTGGTGTCATACCTAATGGGGTTTTGAATGGTGTTTGTATTAGTCCAATTCCAGTGTGTTAACATGTTCCTGTGTTATATCCATAGCAAATTCCTTTCTTCCCCTGCTTTGTAGCCAAGTCTACAAAGCTGCCATTCTTCTGACAACAGTTACTCAAAGTAACATGTCTGTAGTTGTCCAGCTGTAGCAGCCTGCTTGCTAGCAGACCACCTGATTTAGGGTCATGGCGGGCCTGCCACACGATGGAGAAAAGGTCACATTCCACACCTGCATTTCCTAAAGAAAGCTCTGTTGCTGGCCTCTATTTAAAAGCTCTTGGTTTATTTTCAGACCTGAGTGACCATGGAGAGTTCAGGCACGGAGCTGGAGGAGAATGCAGGAACAAGGTGTTTACAAAGTTGTTTCCTCCAGCCTTGTGTTTGACACTTGCATTCTTGGCTCCTCTTCTGCCATTTTGTTTAATATTTCATGGAGCTGGTGAAATCCATTTTCTCAAGCAGGTGCTGTGAAAACTTCCCTGCTCAGCTCAGCCCATGCCACCAAGCCCTAGTCTTACTAGTGCTGTAGAGCAAGACATCCACTGAGGAATGTGGAGACCGCCCAGTCAGCCTGCAGTGTCCTTTGCTATTACAGAAGCAATCCTCACCTGTAGCTCAGCCTGTGCCCCTGACCTTCAGTGGTCTTCAGTTCCACCTGCTGCTGCCTTGTTGAACCCTGCATGGATTCTTGCCAGTGCATTCAGTCCTCATCCGCAGCTCCTATGCAGAGCTTGCTAGCACCCTGAAAATTTTGCAGACGTGTTTGTCATTTTAGTCCCCAAATTCTGGCTCTCGCAATAACCCTTTAAAGAAACTGCACTGCCATGACCTGTGAGGTCTCTAGTACAGCATTTGTAGTTGCATGGTAACATCTCTCAGTGCCCGTAGCAAGGCCTAGAGGTGTGCAGAAGTGCTGCTTGGAGAATTATTTTCCTTAATTGAACACCACAGTGTGAGGCTGTGTCTCATCTGAGTTGCCATGCAGGGGGCTTGGCTCTGCTTTCCGGTTCCACAGCTTCCCAGGGTAGCAGGGGCGGCAGAGATAAAGAGCTCAGCATGGTGAGGAAGGGAGTGACCTGCTTCACTCAGGAGAGATCACTCTGCCTGATTTAAGAGCTGTGATGGTGGGCCCCAGAGGAAGCTGCAGTCAGTTCTCGGCAGGAAGGAAAATGACCACATGGAAGGGTGGTTAATGCAGGGGGTAGGGGACAAAGGGTAAATGCTCTTTGTCACTGATGGATTTACCCAAGAGTTGGTCACGGCCTGGGCAGTGGAGTATGAGAAGCAACATGCAAGTCATGTAGCATATCCCAGGGGGCTTTTCACAGATCTTTTAATTTATATTTTTAATCCAACACAATTGTGTGGTTTATTGTAGCCCTGTAAATACTCAGATCGCTTGAACACTGTGCCTGATCTTGTACTAGAAAGGCAACCACATGGAGGGGCCTGGCTGCAGTTCAGCTGTTTAACAGAGTAACCAAAAAAAGTCCTTTTAGTTCATGGCAGTAATCCTCTGCTTGGTAACTGTGCTGACTGTGTGTCAGTGCTGAGGCTCTCTGCATGCTCTCTATTCAGTTACCACAGCTACATAGGTTATTTTTGTATATGTATGTGAATATTGTATGGTGAAGATGATTAGAAAAGGACAGCCGTGGATTACTATCACAGATTGATCCAATGGCCAGAG